TGAAATCTAATTAACTGACCGTGACTGATGTAGATCTGCAAGGTAAACTGATGGAAAACAGAAGGACGATCTATTCTCTGTAAAGCCTGTATGTTGTGCATAAAACACTGGATGCATGCTATTTTATAATAATGTACTAGAGATATTATATGTTGGGGTGGTAGGATTTGGTCTTCTTTCTTTCTACACAAATTGTATTCATTATAATTATATATAGGTTGTTATATTACACCTTATTATTAGCCCTGGCATAATTTTTGGCTTCTGATATTGTTATTATCTTCTGTAATAATAATGTATATGTAAAAAGAAAGTTAAATAAGTAAAAAAATAACCTTACCTAATTCATCTAATTAACAGCTAAGCTTTTAAATTGCACTTTAATACTAGTACTTTGAAATATATGTAGTAAATATTATGTAACATTCTGACAAAGACAAAAGATATTAGACTATTAGTCTTACTATGTAATTAGTAATTAATATTATGCTTACAAATGTGTTAAAGCCCTCAAAATGTATTTAGTTAATAATTCTATATTACCACTGGAATAATGTTCTGTTGTCTTTTTTGTTTGCTTGTTTTATTATTTTCCAGGTTTTGTGCATTTTGTTTATATATATCTACTGTAAAATTAATTTTAAAGTTGTGAATATATTTAAAAAATACTAAAAGAAAAATAATACAATAAAAGAAAACAATAAAAGAAAATACATCTAAAATAAACAAAAATTTTCAATAATAAAAGTATAAAGTATAAAAGTAAACTAAATTAAAACAAAATAATGAAAGAAAAAATATATTATTAATATAAATTTAAAAATAAAAAAAAATAAAAAAGAGAATAATTTAAAATAAAATTAAATTAAATTAAATAAAAAAATAAAAGAAAAAGAAAAAAGAAAAAAAGAATATAAAACTAAACTAATAAAATAAAAGAAAAAACTAAAAGAAAAAATACATAATATAATATCATATACAACTAAAGGAAAATAAAAGAGAATAATACAATAAAATAAAAAGAATATAAAACTAAAATAAAAATATTAAAACAAAAAATAAATCTAAACTAAAATAATAAAATAAAAAAGAGAAAAATAAACATAAATATGTATATACACAAAGGAAAAAAAAGAAAAGAATATATATATTCTACTTAATAAAATCAAATCAAAATTAAATCACATAATAATCTGAAATCTCACTGGACAACAGGTCTGCAAAATTATCAAGTCCTTTGTGTGTGTCTGTGTTTGTTTTCCTTGCTGAACCTGATGCCGTGACCCAGTATAAAGAAAGAATTTTCTCGTTTTGGCATCAGTTGGCTTTTCTGAGAACTCAACACCCAATACTCGTCTTTTCTGAGAGCATGAATCACACACACAGTGTGTAATGTATCTGTCTGCACACGGCACGCATAAAACCGAACAATTAGAGCACTCAGATAGACAAACACACAGGCTGAAAGTCACGTACAGTATAGTGGAGGATCCTCTTACAGCACTCAATCTCTGAGAATAAAGACATGCTAATAAATCCATAAAAGAGGTTGTTATTCTCATCTTGTTCACTAAGGTTCAACCATATTATGAATATGCATCTTATATTTACAAGCATAATAACATAGAGATGTGCGTTTAAATGGACATTTTGTAACCTAGTGCAGGGGTTCCCAAACTTTTCGACCTGCGACCCCTAAAATAACAATGCCAGGCAGAGACCCGCGACCCCCCAATGTCCTCTGAGGTGGTTGTAAATATAGAAACCTTGCATGCAATGGCGCAGACACACCAATAGATCCAAGTCTATTCTTTGTTTAATTTGTTTTATGTATGTCAGAGCTGTAAATGGGCCAGAAAGTTTAACCTGGTATTATAAATCAATCTGCTGCATCTGACTCTATTACAGGGGTCTTTAATATGATGTAATTACCTCAGGGATTACAATCCAATAGAACTAGTAACTATAAGCTACTATAGAAACTATAGTATATAGTAACTATAAATGACTATTTGTCTTTTCAGTAGGTTATGAATAAAATATGGCAATTGTTAAGGTTTATTAAAAATAAAAAACAAAAAAAAACAAGCTCATAAAAGTTTTGAAACATGTAAAAGGAGAGTAAATGATGACTAAACATTCCTTTTTGGGTGAACTGTCCCTTTACATGGTTAAAACAATGCTGTATTTGTTCAGGACGGTAGAATATGTGTGTAGTTTACACCACTATTAATAATCCTAAAATGATCTCCTCGGGAAATGACAGAGGGAAAGTCTTAATGGTAAAGTAATGAAGGCTAATTTCACTAATGGGTCTCTGTTTCCTGACCTCAGACCTCTTGATTTCACTGGAAATGAAGCTCCATCAAAACCTCATGCATTTCAGACTTTATGTCAAGTTTAGCTGATACACGATGGGTTTTCATAGATATTAACAATTTATGATATGATGGCCAAAGTGGTTTATATCACACAGATATGTCAAAGATAAAGTGTAAGGAAATATACTCTCAGTCCTGGATTTTTTTGAGATCTGATACATGTTGCTTTGAGTAGGTTCCGTTGCACTTTTCAGATGACAAATCCACTAGAGGGCGCTGTGTACATTTTGCGAATTTGAAATGCATTACTTAGGGTACATTTTATTATACATTTCAGTTAAATATGCTTTTAGTACACGTTCAGAAGAAGAAAGAGCTTGTCGTTAGGGCTACACAATAAAGGGTTTTAGCATCGATATTGCAATGTGATCATTTGCAATATTCACATCGCAGGATATGCAATGTTGAGTCTGAGATTATAGTTTATGATCTGCATGGGTTTCTGAGGCCTGTCGAAACTGCCCCATTTGTAACTGTATTAATGATTATTCATTGATTCATTTTCATTTCAGCTTAGTCCCTTTATTAATCCGAGGTCGCCACAGCGGAATGAACCGCCAACTTATCCAGCATGTTTTTACGCAGCGGATGCCCTTCCAGCCGCAACCCATCTCTGGAAAACATCCATACACACTCATTCACACTCATACACTACGGACAATTTAGCCTACCCAATTATATTTTATGCACATGCATTCCCTTACCGAATCATCCCAGTCGATCTAAGTCATCTGTTGAAAATGTATTCAAGTCGCAATATATACAACCACAAAATATCGTGACGCTAGATTTTTCCAATATCGTAAATCAACGCAACTCGTAAATCCAAATATTTGATCAAAAATCATGGAAATCCTTGTTTTGTGGTATATATTTGGCGTTTTGTAAAGAACTACACAAAAATAATCCCTAATTCATTGATAATATGTGCCTATAAATATCATTAGTGTGAAAAGGAACAAAAGCTGTAGTCTTCATACTGCCCCCTAGTGTTTATTTTACATAGGAAAGGCAGTCATGCGTATGTTTAAGTTCATTTTTTGTGGTTCGACGCATTTCAAATGAGCCTGTGTTCAAAAATACAGCACTTTCATTAATTAATTTTTATTAATTAATTAGTCTCCATTTTAGAGGTCGCCACAGCGCAATGAACCACCTAGATCAACTTTATTAATGACAAATATAAAAAATACATCTATTTATGTAATACATCTATTTATAAAATCTATTAATTTCAATTAATGATTCTAAAGTCCCAAGTTGGAAAGAAAATGTTACATTTTTTAGGTCACAATTTATTTTAATGATCCGTTTGATGAATCTACATGCCAACTAATTTTCATTAGAGTATAAGTAGAATGTTAGGGTTGGGTTTAAAAAGTTTCTTATAGTCAGTTAAATGTCTGTTGAAGGAGCTAATACTCAGGAACTAATTAGGAACTAATGGAGGAACCAATACTCAAATAGATACTCAAAATAAAGTGTTATCAAATTTGATTATTCATTTATGCTTTAAATATGTATTCAATGTGGTTCAGAAAAAACTATATAGCCAAACGCTCTCGATGTTCAGCTACAGAACATTAAACAACATATCTGAACATCTGTAAATCAACACTTGTTAAGCATTTAACTGTCCCGTGTTCAAATTTAAGTAGAAAAAATGAGAATAAATATATTTTTTGTTTCAGATAAGAAGTCTGTTTGTCAGTAAGTTTGGTCATTTCACCAGTAATTCGTATTTCCGTACCAATAAAACAGCTCGGCTTGCATTATATTGAACATCTAATTCTTAAGAAACACTTGTTTGACAGGTTGTCTAACATGCAACAACACGCCATACAGTCAGAGTGAAGACTGTAAAAACGATGTAAGCTGTGAGGTTACAGGTTATTCACAACATCTGCATAATCATTTAACCTCATCAAGTAATTTCATTCATTCATTTTCTTGTCAGCTTAGTTCTTTTATTAATCCGGGGTCGCCACAGCGGAATGAACCGCCAACTTATCCAGCAAGTTTTTACGCAGCGGATGCCCTTCCAGCCGCAACCCATCTCTGGGAAACATCCACACACACATTCTCACACACACACCTATACACTACGGACAATTTAGCCTACCTAATTCACCTGTCTGATGTCTTTGGACTGTGGGGGAAACCGGAGCACCCGGAGGAAACCCACGCAAAGGCAGGGAGAACATGCAAACTCCACACAGAAACGATAACTGAGCCGAGGTTCGAACCAGCAACCGACCTTCTCGCTGTGAGGCGACAGCACTACCTACTACGCCACTGCCTCGCCTCAAGTAATTTCACTTTAGGATTTAATTAAAACACAGCTGGTAATAAATGCATGCAAGAGTTGCACAGGGCTTGATATTGCGACTGTTTTGGTCAAATATATTTATCTATGTAACCTCAAAATTTATTTGGGAGTAAAAGTAACACTGCAAATACCCTCGCAAAAGGGCCTGCATTCCCCAAGATTAAGCTAATATTGCAGCTCATGGAAAGACCAGTATTTCTATTAAGATAACGTATGCAAATAATAAGTTATATGTCAACAGCATCTGTGTAATATCAAACACCACCAGTGAGAACACAGCAAAGTTATTATCATTAACTCGATAAGATATAATAATAATAATAATTTGAATAATAATTAACTTGATAGGATTCGTGTCCAGCAGTGCGTGCAGGGCTGGTGTGTTTTTGTTTGTTTGTTAGTTATGATTAGTGTAGATTTGAAATGCAGTAAATCTGTTAATATGAAACTTGTAGTAATGGTGCTCTTAATTGGTGGGTGTGACTACATTTTGGTTGGTGCTTCTAAATTTTAAAGTTAGGAGCGTCAGTGCTGCCAAGTGAAAGGGTTAATTTCGAGCCCTGCTGTATGATAATACTTAACTGCGGGCGACGCAGTGGCGCAGTGGGTAGCACGTTCGCCTCACAGCAAGAAGGTCGCTGGTTCGATCCACGGCTCAGTTGGCGTTTCTGTGTGGAGTTTGCATGTTCTCCCTGCGTTCGCGTGGGTTCCCTTCGGGTACTCCGGTTTCCCCCACAGTCCAAAGACATGCGGTACAGGTGAATTGGGTGGGCTAAATTGTCCGTAGTGTATGAGTGTGTGGGTTGCGGCTGGAAGGGCATCCGCTGCATAAAAACTTGCTGGATAAGTTGGTGGTTCATTCCGCTGTGGCGACCCCGGATTAATAAAGGGACTAAGCCGACAAGAAAATGAATAAAAGAATGAATATTTAATTGCTTATGGATATAATACACCATAATTTCTGCCCATTTACTATTGCAAAATTATTTCATCATTAGGCCATTTGTTAAAAATGTTGTCTTAAAGTTCAGTGTTTCTTCTCTGCTTCGACTTAGTTCGCTTTTAGTGATTTTAAAAGGCACCAGCAATTAAAAACAATGCATACTTTCTCTATATACATCTTTGAAAAGGCACCCAACATGTCACAACACCTGCCAATGTGAACTCAAACCACAGAGTGGCATAACCTCATTTTTCGGGACATGTCGGCACATATTCATAGGTGTGTGCTTTTACCAATGATCAGACACTAGCCAAGATCAAAACTCATAGATGTACTCACTTGATTTAGCATGCAAAAATAGGCAGGAAACAATGCAGCAGGACTGAGCTGGGGAAATACATCTATTTATCCATCTTTATTCTTCACCATGATGCTCTGTGAATTATTTTAGTAACTTCTGTTAAACTGTAAATAATCAGTGAAGTGTTTTAAGCTGTGTACAATGATGTTTCTGCTGTTCAAAACTAGCCAAGAGTGCCATCTGTTATTCAAAACTAGCCTATAGCAACTAGCCTAGAGCGCCATCTGTTGTTCAAAACTAGCCTAGAACGATGTCTGTTGTTCAAAACTAGCCTAGAGCTTTATTTGTTGTTCAAAACTAGCCTGCAGCGCCATCTATTGTACAAAACTACCCTATAGCAACTAGCCTAGAGTGCCATCTGTTGCTCAAAAAAGCCTATAGCAACAAGCCTAGAGCGCCATCTGTTGTTTAAAACTAGCCTAGAATGATGTCCGTTGTTCAAAACTAGCCTAGAACGATGTCTGTTGTTCAAAACTAGCCTAGAGCTTTATTTGTTGTTTAAAACTAGCCTGAAGCGCCATCTGTTGTTCAAAACTAGCCTAGAGCAACTAGCCTAGAGCGCCATCTGTTGTTCAAAAAAAGCCTAGAGCAACTAGCCTAGAACACCATCTGTTGTTCTAAACTAGCATAGAGCAACTAGCCTAAAGCTTCATCTGCTGTTCAAAACTAGCCTGAAGCACCGTCTGCTGTACAAAGCTAGCCTAGAGCACCGTCTACTGTCCTTCAGCCTAGAGCAGCGTCTGCTGTTCATTAGCCTAGAGTGCTGTCTGCTGTTTAAAACTAACCCAGAGCACCGTGTGTTGTTCATTAGCCAAGAGCGCCATCTGTTATTTAAAACTATCCTAGAGCATCATCTATTGTCCATTAGCTAGAGCGTCATCTGCTGTTCAAAACAAGCGTAGCGCACCGTCTGCTAACCATTAGCCTAAAGGGCCGTCTGCTGTTCAAAACTAGCCTAGAGCATTGTCTGCTGATCAGAACTAGCTATCTGCTGTTCATTAGCCTAGAGTGTGTCTGCTATTCATTAGCCTAGAGCACCGTTTGCTATTCATTTAGAGTTCAAAACTAACCTAGAGCACCGTGTGCTGTTCATTAGCCTAGAGCACCATCTGTTGTTCAAAACTAGTCCAGAGCGTCATCTGCTGCTCAAAACCAGCCTAGAGCCCCATCTGTCTAAAACTAGCCTAGAGCGCGGTCTGCTGTTCAAAATGAAGCTCAGAATCGATTCAAGAGGAAAGAGCAAAACATTTTGAAAATTGTCAACTTCTCAAACTGTTTTTCACTTCAGCTCTATTTAAAATGCATTGGTCACATGTATACACAGGAGGATGACTCAGATTTCTGTACAAACCGAGTTTTTATTTTTCTCACCTCTCCGGTGCGTCCGAGCTCCAACTCCACCAGAGCCACAGGGCTGCTGGACACCTGCCCCCTGCTGGCCGATGTGTGCAGGTCCACCCTCCACTTCAGGCCCCTGAGGGCTGGCTCCCAGCGGCTCTGAGCCAGCAGACTCTCTCGTACCCGTGACCGGTGGGTCTTCCAGAAGCGTGCCAGAGCGGCCGCCTGCTCCGGACTCACAGCACCGCCTCCCTGCTTCCGAGTCTGCGCCGTCAAGAAAGCCTCCAGCTGTGCCTGGTCCATGTCTGCTGATGCAATAGACTGAAGGAAAGACACAAAGATGAGGTTATAGGCAGGCCCACACCGAATCTGCGTGTGCAGAAATCCACAGATTTCTAGCCCATAATTAATTCTGCATTTTTACTTGTGTAAATGTGTATAAATGTATATTTATTCAGTTTTTAAATTAATTTCAGTAATAATATTGACTGATATGAAAATGTTCATTTAATTTATTTACAATACAGTTTGTAAAAGAATATTTTCAGTCTTTTAGTACATCTATTATATGAGAGACTGGCTTTTTTACCAAATAAGTGGATCTACTTGAAATTGCATTATAAACATTAAATAAATGACTAAAATGTATTATTCCTTTATTTATTTATTATTGTTTTATTTATTTATTTTTATTATATATATTTTTTTTTTACAAAATTCTGTGCAGAAATAGCAAAAAATGTCAGAAGATTCAGTCTGTCCCTAGTCAAAGGTTATATATATCCATGGTTGACATTTGACCTTTTTATTATAAGCATTGGCAGATTTTCTGTTTGACTGACAACTGACTTTTTAAAAAAATTTCATTTATATATTTTTCACACCAAAATTCTCTGCCGTTTTAAAGCTGTTTACTGTATTTATCATTGTCTGTTTACAGTTTGTGAGGGAAAATGTTTAATAATCAGCATACCTGCTAAAGAATATGAATAAGGTATTATAGTGTTTTTATTTCTATTCGGGCCCAAAAAACTAAAATTTAATTTTTTCCCCAGATTGTTTTCTGGATTCTTTTATTTAAATATTTCCTCAATTTAATTAGTTCAAATTAGTTTTAACAACCATTAAACATGTCCACACAATTTAAATCATGAGATTTCTTCAATTTAACAAATTTGTTTTACAAAATACTCTAAAAAAACGTTTTATTTTAGAGTTTTATTTTTATTTTATTCATATAAAAATGAAAAACACGAAAGAACAATCGTGTATTTATTCCTTAGAAATACAGTTTTAATTTGTAATATTATGAATTTGAAAATATACTGCAGAAATCATAGTTCCGTACTATTTTTAAGAGTAACACTAACTATTTTATATGTTTCTGTAATTGAAAAAATGTACATGAGAGGTACAAGAGGTTTATAAAATGGTGACGCGGTGTCACCATTGAAGTAGTCAGGTAGTGCTGTTGCCTCACAGCAAGAAGGTCGCTGGTTTGAGCCTCGGCTGGGTCAGTTGGCGTTTCTGTGTGGAGTTTGCATGTTCTCTCTGTGTTCATGTGGGTTTCCTCTGGGTGCTCCGGTTTTCCCCACAGTCCAAAAACATGCAGTACAGGTGAATTGGGTAGGCTAAATTGTCCATAGTGTATGAGTGTGTGTGGATGTATCTAAAGTATAAATCTGTTTCCTTTTTCTTTTTTTTTTTTTTACAGTTTATGTATGATTTATGATTTAATTAGAGTGATATCAAAAATCAACATCACTAAGCTTCAACCTTAAATAACTCTTACACAATATTAAACCCTAAATACCTCTTTTGCACAATATTCACCTTTAATACCTCTCTTGCACAATATCCTGCACAACATTGTTCAGTCTCATGTAAATGTACCTGTATGCACTGTCTTATGTGTATAGTTAAGTATCTTAATATATTAGTAATGGTTTTAGTTATAGTATGTTTTTTTTCAAAAAGCTCTAAGTCCGGTGTTGTGTTTGTATTTATGATTAATTTATGTATCACCATGGTCCTACAAGACACAACATTTCATTCCTCTGTATGTCCACACCCTGGTCCACACATGTAGCGGAGTTACAACAAAGCTTGACTTGACTTGACTTGAGTATACTGTAATATAAAGTGAATAGACCATTTCAATGTGGTGCTGTCATTGGCCGATGAACATTTCCTGCTTGTCATCAAACTATTTAGACCTGTAAAAAGAGGCAATTCAACCATTACTTAATGTTAAAATAGCTATATAACCTTATTTATGTAGCTCTTTTAGGATTCTCGGAAGCAATTGAAATAAAAAATGTAAGTCAGGTAATACAATGGGACGTTTGTTTTTGTTTACATCCCTCAAAATTCTCTATATAGGCCTATTGTCTACAGATATAATACAGTACTAATAGAAATGGAAACGTTCAATGGCGACACAAGTAATCTACTGCTCTCTAGCGGTTGACAGATCACAGCGCAGTCCACATCTGCACCTTAGTTGATTAAAGTTGATTATTTAATATTTCCGCCTGTATTTAACTGAACAAATACTGCAGAAACAGCACTAAACCTCTCTGCTCTCATATTAAATGAACATAAGAGCAGCGGTAGAGGAGAAAGTACCTTCAGAAGCGACCTCATCTTGTCGTGAAGCGCACGGAACTCGTCCTCCGTCATCTCGGCGTAAAGCTCATTCTTCAGAAACTCCTCCGTTATTTCGGTATTTCCGTAATAAAGTCTCTGCGTTATTCCGTTTAATAAAGCGCTCACACATCTCTGGCTGTCCGCGTCCGCCATGCTGGATGTTGACAGCAGTCATGTGATTTGCGTCACGCGCGTTCATTTCCGGTCGTTTTCAAACATGTAGTCGATTATGTTTGGTGTACTTTAGACATAATTTGAAAAGTTTTTTATTATTATGTATAACTATAATATAAAATTGTAATTTTTTTTCTTTCATCTGCGAATGAAACATGTGAAAATGTCAATGAAATGTCAATGTTTACTTTCATGTTAGCTTTCTGAATGAGAAAATATCCTAACCTTTACACACATAAAACTGTACATTTGTTCAGACTTTACATATTCAGCATTGATACTATCAATATTTAAACAGTTCATTAATTGTGTTAATTGTATTTATTGCAGCACAGTGGGTAGCACAATTGCCTCGAAGCAAGAAAGTCGCTGGTTCGAGTCTTGGCTGGGTCAGTTGGCATTTCTGGGAAACATCCACACACACTCATACACTACGGACAATTTAGCTTACCCAATTCACCTGTACCGCATGTCTTTGGACTGTGGGGGAAACTGGAGCTCCCGGGGGAAACCCACATGAACGCAGGAATAACATGCAAACTCCACACAGAAACACTAACTGACCCGAGGCTCGAACCAGCGACCTTCTTGCTGTGAGGCAACAGCACTGATTATTTGTATTATTAAGTGTTTATTTTATATTATTAATTACTTTAATCATGTTGTAAAAGTGCAAAACAGAATTAATGCTGTTTGATGCATGCGCTCTAGGGATGTATGTCCCCAACAATATCAAGAGCGAATCTACGCCTTAGTTTGAACTAAAATATTAAGCATTAATTTAATACTACGTATTAAGTAACAAGTCGATATAATAACAGAAAATGTGCTGGCAGTTTATTACAAGCTTTTTGTAGCGTAATATACAACACCAACCCAGGCAATATTAAACATGTTCAGAAACGTCACTTGTGACTAGCTATGTAGATAGCACAGATAGCATGATAGAGTATAATAGAGTGTGATTTTTATTTATACCATCATATGTTTACAGATGTGAACCGCCAACTTATCCAGCATATGTTTTACACAGCAGAGCTCTTCCAGCTGCAACCTAGTACTGGGAAACACCCGCACACACTCATTGACAATTTAGCTTACCCAATTCCCCTATAGCACATGTCTTTGGATTTGTGGGGGAAATCGGAGCCCCCGGAGAAAACCCACACCAACACTGGGAGAACATGCAAACTCCACAGAGAAACACCCACTGACCCAGCCGAGGCTCGAACCTGCGACCTTCTTGCTGTAAGGCAATCGCGCTACCCGCTGCGCCACTGTGCTGCCCATGCTTGTAGATTGTTTATTATAATTTATGCAGATGCATTAACATGCAGAATCATCCCAATCAATCTAAGCCATCTGCTGAAAATGTATTCATGTCACAAAATATGAAAACACAAAACATCGCAATGCTAGATTTTTCCAAAATGCAAGCGACCAGGTTATTTGAATCAATCATGGTCATGTAATGCAATTATGGCCAATACATATTTTGAAAAAAAGTAGAAGATAATACATCAGAAGATTAAAACATGATCATGTCTGAGGGAAAAATAAAAATAAGTATACCTAAAAATATATGAAAAAATAAAAAACAAACGGTTTAATATGGGCGCTTTAGCGCATCATAATTCAAGTTTTTTTCCTTTCACATTCTTCAATTGGTGATGTTTGTTCCTCGTCGCTGACGCAGCTGGCTTGCTTGGTTTTGGACTTGTGGAGCTGCACATCAATGGATTTTCTCTTCAGTGTTTGAACTTTCAGCAGTGAAAATTAAATCACACTGAACTGAACTGAACTTCAACTCTGAAAACTGGACTTTAGAACTATGTTAAGCTGCTTCGACACAATCTACATTGTAAAAGCGCTATAGAAATACACATTCATTCATTCATTCATTTTCTTTTCAGCTTAGTCACTTTATTAATCCGGGGTCGCCACAGCGGAATGAACCGCCAACTTATCCAGCACGTTTTTTTGCAACGGATGCCCTTCCAGCTGCAACCCGTCATTGGGAAACAGAACCAACATTTTCACTATGAAGCATTCTTCATTATTCTTACTATTAAAATCTGGATTAAACTTAGAAGACAGATAAGTGGAAATGTAGCTTGTGTCAAGCAGATCTTGTTGCAGATCACTACCCTCATGAAAAAAGTAAACTTTAAGTTATTTTTTTTAAGTATACCCAAACAATATAAGTATATTTTAAGTATACTTGATGTATTAACATCCATGTACTGATAAGTATACCTTTGAAATAGCTGTTGGAACTCTTTTAGTACAAAAATATCCTTTAAGTGTACTATACAGTAAGTGGAATAGTAGTACTCTTGTGTTTACAGTCTTTTATCTCGTTTTATACAGTACTTTAACAACTAAATGAATGCTTCAGTCTATTTAACTGATTGTATTTTAATTAACTTACAACATCCATGCTGTAAAAGGAACTTTTATGAAATAATGAAAACAGTCTCATTAACATTTCAATAGAAGTTTACTGGTGGCTGAAAAATACCAGCTCTGCACATATAGCCCATTCAAACATATAAAAATAACCGAAGCCACATCAAACTTCATGTGTTAGTTTTACATTATATTTTCATCACAGCACAGCCTTTAATTATTAAACAATCAAGATAAGATATCTATTTAGCCTTTAATTCGTTGCTGGTGCAATATAAAGCTGATAATAGATCAGTTTAAATCCTGTTTGATTGTGTTGGAAATAATACCATGATATACAGTTGAGGACAGAATAATTAGCCCTTGTGAATTATTAGCCCCGCTGTTTATTTTTTCCCCCAATTTCTGTTTAACAGAGAGATTTTTTTCAGCACATTTCTAAACATAATAGTTTTAAGAACTCATTTCTAAAACCTGATTTATTTTATCTTTGCCATGATGACAGCAGATCATATTTGACTAGATATTTTTCAAGATACTTCTATACAGCTCAAAGTGACATTTAAAAGCTTAACTTAATTAGGTTACCAGGTCAGGGTAATTAGGCAAGTCATTGTATAACGGTGGTCTGTTCTGTAGACTATCGGAAAAAAATATAGATTAAAAGGGCTAATAATACTGACCTTAAAATGGTGTTTAAAAAATTTAAAACTGCTTTTATTCTGGCCGAAATAAAATAAATAAAGCTTTCTCTAGACTACAAAATGTTATCAGACATACTGTGAAAATTCCCTTGCTCTGTTAAACATCATTTGGGAAATATTTAAAAAAGAAAAAAATTCAAAGGGGGGCTAATAATTCAAAGTGGTGCTCACTGCAGAGCCACTTGGGCAGAGCTGAGCTCCAGCAAGGGGAAGCTTGAGCTCACGCTCCACCGTCCTTGCACTTCTTCTACGAGTGATGTCAGTGGGGGTGGGGTTAGGGGTGGGGTGGGTGTACGCATTAAAACAGCTTATAGGAGGGGAGCTCAAGCTCAAGCTCCCCCTCACTGGATCTCAAGTGGCTCTGCAGCGAGCAGTGTCTCAATAATTCTGTCTTCAACTGTAATGTAATAGAGCAACCTATGTAAAATCTAAATCCTTACAGTAGTGCAAGGTGTGAATGTTTTCTGTTAACACAGCACCCATGCTTTGAGTCTATATGAGGTCTTTTTTTCTGGGGGAAAAAGGAATAAATAAGCATAATAAGCATTGCAATACAAGTTTACACTAAAGTTATGTTACACAAAAAATTAGGATTACCTTTTTAAGTACCTTTACTTTCTATTTTAGGTTGTCCAGTGAACTAAAAAAAAAACAACAAAAAAAAAAACAAGACCATAGACAAGATGCAGTTCAAGTGACTTCAAATGTCCCAGAAAATTCTTTCGACATCAGTTCTGGATTTTAGAACTCTTTGAAGCGAGTAACCTTTGATACAATAGTTTTTATAGCATTCAATAAGGAACAGCTCAGACAACTATTCAACAAACATCCTTCTCATCCTTCACAATTTACGCAAGATGCATTGACGACAATGAATTTTTGGAAAAGATTCTGGGAAACTAATTCTCTGTGTTTTTTTATTTTTATTTTAGCCAGTCTGCATGTCCACGGTGCCGGTAAGTCAAATTTATTCATCGCCACTTAAAGCGCCAATCCCACACTGAAAATATAGTAAATACTTAATAAAAAAAGTCTAATATGTATTATATTGTGTATGTTATAGTATTTACAACAGGTTGATAATGAATGCTACATACTTACTATTAACTAGAGAGCTGATAAACTGTAATAAATACTGCAGTATAATTTAGTTTTTCTTGCAGTAAACTGTTGTGTATTGTAATACAATACAGTACTAGTACTACTTCAGTACTGAGTCTTTTGTTTATATTACTAGTTGTTGTATCGAATTGCTATAACAGATTAATTCAAGTACATAGCATTCAAAAATACTGTAGTATATACAATAAATTACAAATTTAAACATGAGTATTTTTTTTCTTTTGGGATATCTGCATGGGAGTCAGAACAGTCTATTAACCTGTGACAATACGTTGGCAGTTCTGGCAGTCTGTAAATGTTTTTTTAGGGTTTAGCCAGATCTGATCCCACTTTATATTAGGTGGCCTTAAGTACAGCAATATGTACTTAATTATTTGTTACAATGTACATATTGTGCACATACAGTTGAGGTGAGAATTATTAGCCCCTTTTGATTTATTTATTTTTTATGTTTCCCAAGTGATGTTGAACATAGCAAGGAATTTTTCACAGTATGTCTGATAATATTTTTTCTTCTGGAGAAAGTCTTAGTTGTTTTATTTTGACTAGAATAAAAGCAGTTTTGCATTTTTTTAAACACCATTTTAAGGTCAGTATTATTATCCCCTTTTAGCTATATTTTTCTCGATAGTCTACAGAACAGACCATCGTAATACAATAACTTGCCTAATTACCCTAACCTGCCTAGTTCACCTAATTAACCTAGATAAGCCTTTAAAAGTCACTTTAAGCTGTATAGAAGTGTCTTGAAAAATATCTAGCAAAA